CTGGGGGTGCTAAATTGGAGATGGATCGTTCTCTGGTTCAGGTTAAAATTGCGATCAGCAGATGAATGAATGGGTTCGCCCTATAAACAGGCGTGACGTGTGGGTGCGGGTCTTGCCCTTAGATGGTAGAAAACAAGAACAATCGCACCCCTTCTGGTTTAATGGCCAACGACAACAGATACAACCAGCAATAATTCACACGTGCCAGTGAGAATGACAACCTGATTCAGCAACTAATAGCGTGTGTGTATTGCAGGAGGTATATTTCAAGACTGCGCCATCCACGCCCTAGATTACGTGTGCTGGCTTCTGAGTGAATATCCCGAAAGTATGAAAGCATACGGAACAGCCATCAGTGAGGACATCAGAGACATAGGAGACTACGATACTCTCATCATTAGCATGAAATTTCCTAGTGGGATACTCGCCACCATAGACTTCAGCAGGCACGCCGTCTATGGACTGGATCAACGTGCTGAANGTCTATGGACTGGATCAACGTGCTGAAGTGAGGATTCTTATTTATTGCCTTAGACATTCATTTAGAAATCCTTTTTTTCCCCCTCTTCATCTTAAAACTTTGAAAATGTATTTTGATACATAAAATTATTTTAAAATGATTAAACAGTATATGAAATTAAGAAAAATTTTGAAACATGATAGAACACATTAAGTAATAAATATCAGGTAAAAAACAGAACGCGCTAAGGATTCTACACTAAGACTAGGGAACGCTGCAAGCTCCATACTGCCTATACTTCCGGGTTACAGGTGTATTTGAAAGCCATTTAGCTCACAACGTGATCATTGTGTTTTGAGATTTTTGCAAACGTGGTATTTGATTACTTGTGTTTGCAACGTTAACAATACTTGTATTTACAATGCTAAAGGTGCGAGCACTAACGTAAGATGATGCACAGCTTGCAACAAGAACAAACAGTAATAAACAAATGAAAAGAGGCCAAATCTGAACTGCTAAAAAATCTAGCAACCATGTCATCTCTTATAACACTATATCTATAAATAACTAAAGCAAATTTTCACTTCAAACTCACCAGAATGACTTAATAACATCAATATCTTATGAAATACGGCAGATTTGAGCTCGAAAATGATCTAATTTACTTCCATTATTGAAAGCAAAATTATTCTTTTTGAAAATATCGCCTCGCAGAATAAGCTGTAATAAGCAGTTGCAAGCTTTCTAACCGGAACTAGAGCAGGTACGGAGCTCGAGATTGCTTATATTTATATTGAAAACACCATCCATATGAGTTTAAAAAAAATTTGATCAAAATGAAATATCACGTAAAAAAAAGAAGGCGCTATAGGCAACGCTCGAATACGCCCTCTGGGGGAGAAGTCCGGTTAGGTGGCCTTTCCCTCTCCTCCTCTTTTCACTTGTATAGAAATGCACTATGATGTTTTTTCCTTTTCTTAATATTTTTTACTAATAAAAATATTTTTTAAAATTTCCATGATGCTTTCTTTTAGAACTATGTTTAATGTAGTTCCATATAGTTTCCTAGCTTAAAATTTTTTAATCTAAATAAAAATCAAGTTAGAAACTACCGCACTTTCTTCTTCTCCACACGTTAATGGCGAAAACATGCAAATAAGTGTTGCCATGAGTTCTGCTCTACTCCACCTGTGGCCGATCACCAATAAAATAAAGTCCCTGTTTTCATATTTTGTAATCTGGCAATCTCATAACAAAATAATTTAAATCGTTTTTGAAATTTTTATTAATTTTTTTTTTAAATTTTAGTTTTTTTCCTTTTTTTACTATGTTATTTTATTTTAATAATTTTCTTCTTCTCTTTTCATTATTCTGTAATTTTTCCATGTTTTCTCTCTCTCTCTCTATATATATATATATATATCAATTGCAATAATTATAAATGTTAGTAATCTTCGACTTAACTATTTTGGTCGGACTTTATTATCAGGACAAACCAAATATACGGCTTTTGAACCAAATGGTCCGCATTGAACAGTTGACTTGCTACTTGTGACTGCGACATTGTCCTCCTCCTGTTACTTTTAGATATACGAGGCGCATCCAGAAAGTAAGTTCCTCGAATTTTTTAAAAAAAAACGAACTCACACTTTCAGGAACATATTTAGCGGCAACAAGTACAGCAATGTTTCAGCTATTTTTCAACATAGCCATCACCAGAATGGAGACACTTGTCGTATCGTGGGATCAACTTTTGTATCCCTCTGTCGTAGAACTCTGCCGCCTGTGAATGGAACCAGCGTGCGACAGACACTTACCGTTACTGTGACACACTGAGGGAATTGTGACTTGCCATTCAAAATAAGAGTCGTGGAATGCTTACTGTAGGTGTTGCGCTCCTCCATGATAATGCTTGTCCACATACGGCATGACGCACAGCAACTGTTTTGACTGAGAGTTGTTGACCATCCACCCTACAGCCCTGATATTGCACCCAGCGATTTTCACGTTTTGGCAACGACAAAGAGCTAAAGACTTCTGTCACACGCTTATTCCATTCACAGGCGGCAGAGTTCTACGACAGAGGGATACAAAAGTTGATCCCACGATACGACAAGTGTCTCAATTCTGGTGGTGGCTATGTTGAAAAATAGCTGAAACATTGCTGTACTTGTTACCGCTAAATATGTTCCTGAAAGTGTGAGTTCGTTTTTTTTTAATAAATTAGGGAAACTTACTTTCTGGATGAGCCTCGTAGTTGTTCAAAATGAAAGTGAACTTTCACTGCTCTCTTTCCCCCAAGAGATCTCGACGGCTCAAATTTTAAGAACTATGGAAGAAAAGTGCTTTTTACTGTCATTTTTTTAAAATTTAGCTGTTATTAATTTGTCATTTTATAAATTTTTCATTAAATTGTCATTTCATAAATTTAGCTTTGCATCAAACTAAATTTATGTTTTAATCCATTTTATAAAATTTGAGTGGAATATTCTTTGGAAAATTTTAAAAGTTTTCTTTCCGTGGTCTCAAAACCCATTAAAAAAATTTTCATACTCTTTTCTTTCGACGTTTTTGACTTCTTCTTCTTTTTTTTTTTTTTTTTGCTTTTGAAAAAAAAATGGAAATAAGAGAATTTTAGTGCATTGCTACTACCTTTCCATGTAAGTAACAATAAACGAAACCCTTAGGTGATTTCGTAAAGTTTTACAGAGTGCGTAGCCAAACCTTTCAACAAAAACTAAGCACCTTTTAAGCACTTTTAAAAAATTATTTTCGAGCTATATACAAGATAAAATGCAACATAATTTCCAAAGACTTAACATGATTATGATAAAAATAACTAGTTTCTAACCAAGAACTCTTTTCTTGATTATATCAGCCATTATAAAATGATTAAGAGATTTTTCGGTTTGTTATCAGAGGGTGGAAAATGAAGCCTGAAATTAGGAATATCTTGCAAATTGCAGCAGAGTTGCACATGAGAGTGCAATAATCTCACCGAACCCAGCCAACACCTCCTAGAAAGAACATGCCTCAGCACGGGTTACCATAAATATCCCTTAGTAGTCCAAACGTAATGACATATTTTGTATTTTGAACCACAGCGCAGCTTAGTACCCCTAACGTAGTGACATCTTTCTTATTTTTCGTCTACTGCGCAGTTAACTTCGTCACATCGGACTACTAAATTGATCCGTGCTGAGGCCTTACTACTTCTAGGAGGTGTTGACCCAGCTCAGTCGTGACGCATATGCGGACTCTCAAGTACTGCATCAAACAAGTAAAATGATCGGCGCTTTCATACGCTACGGACTGACGGTACGCCGGAATGGATTTTGGTTGAATGAATTGTGTAAACGTTGAATAGAACAATGTGAAAAACTCGCTTTTGCATAATACGTAACGAAAATCGACACGGTATAGGAAAAAAATCTCGTTTTCGAAAAAGGAATATTAAGCATTTTTTAAGGAACCCCAACGAAAAAAGCACCTTTTAAAAAATGAAAATCGAAAATAAGCACCTTTAAGAACGCGATGTTTAAAAGGCCACAAATTAAATATTTAGTTAGATTTTGTAGACAATGTAATGTCTACCATAAATGGATTTATTTAATCTAAACCGCAAAAAAAATGTGCTCACGAAGAATTGTGTCCACGACGTCTCTGAGACACAGTGGCGGATCCAGGATCCTTCCCAAAATTGAAAAAAAAATTTAAATAATAATTTTTTTATTAATATTTAAAGAGATAAAATATTTTAAAAATTATTTAATGGGGCATATACACCTAGGTAGGTCGGAAAAATTTATTTTTCCCCCATCTAATTATATTCGTCACTGTTTCAAGAATCATAATCCTAAAGATTAAAACGAAATTCGTCATAGTTTCATTGTAAACATTAATAATGTTGAAGCGCGTCATTTATAGACAGATTTGCCAAAGTTTCTAAAAAACGTATTACATTTATTATTTAAAGATGTTGAATACGTATGTATTGTTCATTATGAAAAAAATGAATGAGAAGACTAGCATCAAAAACTCCAGTATTTTTTTTTTCAAAAAAATTATTAAAAAAAAATTGTGATAAAAAAAATTAATTGAGATCTGACTCTATGATCCCCCCCCCCCCAGGAAAAATGTCTGGATTCGCACCCTGCTAAGACAAGTAGTGCCCATCATGAATTGCGACGAGCAAAATCGATTGTGCAAAATTGTGAGCGACGGAAGCATAGCTAATAAAAAAAAAATATATATTTCCCACAGATATTTGGAACGAAGGGTATGGTGACGAATGAATGGTACAGGCCAACAGGTGTGAGTCACCATGATGAGAAAGGAGCCGCAGCCACACCCATCTGCTATGACTTCGAAACACGTTATAGAGACTCCTATGCCCTGGAAATGGAACATTTACTCAATATTTTAGAAGGTATGTTTCGAATCATTATAGTATTAAACCAATAAAAGACATATTTTGATACCATAACTTCATTTCTTAGACCTAACCCAAACCTTTAAAAACATTTAGTAAGTTCATTTGCAATTTATTAATTCAACTACTGCTTCAAAAATAAAACAATATTTTTTCCTACTTTTAAAATGATCACGAATAAAAGAAAAAGAAAAATTCTAGTTAAATAAATTTATTTTGATTCTGGAAACCAGAGAGTTAAATTAAAATAAATAACTGATATTCAAAATCCAATATTAATTATATAAAATACGATTCAAAATTGCAATTCATTTAAATATTTATGAAATTAAGTGAATAAAAGGGAGAACATGTCAGCGATCTTTCACTGGTCTGGACAAGGGTTGTAAAAAACCCAGGTTTGTCATGTTTTATTGGTCTTTTTTCAAAAGAGAGGTCAGGGTACCTTATTTTAATATTAATAAGTAGGTTTAATTTTATGAGTTGACTAAACATAAAGTGTAATTAATACAAATAAATTGTCTGAAAAAAAGTTTCTTCTGACATCATGATACAGAATGTTATATGTACTCCCATACATCACACATTTGAAACTTATTTTAACACAGGATAACTTCTTATTTAAATTTTAATAAATATTTTGGGAATTATTATTCTTTTTTGCATAGAAAGCGAATCAAGGGCACTGACTAATCAATGGCCATACAGTCAAATCTAGCCAGTAAGGTGACTCTCCAAACACAGTTTTATCACCATCGGTTCAATTTTTCAGACTATACAACATATATATATATATATTTCTCTTACACGGCGACAAAAAAAAGCCTCATTACAACTCCAAGAATGGCAACGCAAGAAAAATCGACCCATGATTGCCGCTAAAAAT